TTTTTTTTTTTTTTTTGGTACTGGGGATTGAACTCTGGACCTTGTGCTTGTGAGGCAGGCAGTGGAACCACTGAGGTAAATCCCTGGCCACCCTTGTCCTTTTATAGGAATAAGCCCTACAAAAGGCAACAGAAACTGGACTACACTTGGATTCCTGTCTTGACTGACTCTGGAAGCAGGGAACCTCAAAAATACAGTGGGAGGGGCACTCAGGAAGGAAGCCAACATTGAACGGAAGCAGCACTGGTGGTGGGCAGGAGGCAGAAGGCCTAGCTGGGAGAGGAGATTACCACTCAAGTAAGAATTGACAGATGTGTAGGAATTTATTTTCAGTGGCAGCCTAATTAAAGTGTTAAAGTTCCTTAACTCCATTCAGCCCTGCGCCAGGATCGTTCGCTATTGATCTGGGCCCCTCCAGCACTTAACTCCAGCCAGCATATTGGCAATTCAATTAGCACCAGTCAATGCTGCCTGTTCCTGGTTTCCACTGCCCGTGCCCTCACTCTCGCCCACTGCTGGCCTCTCCGCAGCAAAGCCCGCAGCCCATGCCCACCTCTGACAGCCCCTTCCAGGCTCTTCTGCACCCTCTGGATTGATGGTGCCTGGCCAGCTGTTTCTGACCTCTGCTGGTACATCCTCAGCTGCCTAAGGGGAACTCTAAGCTCCGCCTTAGGGCTGAAGACCTCCTAGGAGACAGGAAGAGGCTGGGAATCAAGTCAGGCCTCTTCCCAACACTGCTGCTTTTGGAACACAGCTCCTTTCCAAGTCCTGGTTTACCAGGAAACAGGTTTGACTTTTTCTGCCTTCTCTCTCCTTTCTGACCAGCTCTAGCTTGCTGTCCCCCATACCTACAGGTGTTAGGACACTGTCAGTACTTGGGCACACTGGGTAATTCCGCCTCACTTCTTTTCCTGTTCTCTATTCTCCACCCAGCCCTTCTCTGCCCTCCTCCAAATGCCTCTTGTACCTCTTCCTCACAGGGCAGCCTTTGTGATTCTGTAGCTCCTGTCCTATTCCCCTCTACAGCTCCTTTCTGCTTGCTCTCGATGTCTCACAGACCCATTTCCCCTTCCTGTGTCATTTTCTCAGTTCTTTGCACTCTGCTGCCCTCCTGCCCAGCCCTTATTCTCAGTCCCCTCTTCCTCACCAGGAGTCCGGAGCTGCCCATGGCTGAAGCTTAGGATGCTCTGAAGAGCTGAGAGTCCTTCCTCGGCTGTCGGGCCATTCTGTAGCAGCTGCAGGCGCCTCTGGGCTTGGGCATCCCGGTGGGCAGGTGCACGGAGGTGTTGCAACACAGCCAAGCGGGAGGGTGTTTCCCAGGCACACAGTAGGCAGCGGTAAAGCCCCAGCTCAGCCCCTGCCTCTGCTCCCTCCATTTCCAGCAGGAACTAGAACCATGGGAAGAGGCTGACACTCAGACCCCGAAGGGACACCTCCAGATCACAGGAGACTGTGCTTCCCACAAGGGAGCCTGACCTGTGGGCTTCCCCTCACCCCCCTATACTTCCTCCCCGTGGGCCCTCGTTTCCCTCCTATGACTACTTCAGTATCAGCGCCTGGACTGGATAGGACTCCCTGCTAGTAGAATGGAATTTACTTCCATCTTTCTGAACTTTTGAAGACATGATGGACTGAGCTGACACAGACTCCTCCCTCCAGTCCCAAATACCAGAAGAGCTGAATAAAGTCGTCGTTTCATTGCCTGGGTCCACTATCCTTTGGTCTCTACATTCTCCAGGCCTGCCCAGTTAACCCTGGTGCATACTTCCCTTTTCTTCATTTCTGCTCTGAGTTTTCCCATCACTTCCCTACTCTGCAGCTCTTCCTTTCACCATCTCCTCCCCTTCTCCTCTTTCCTGCCCCAGCCTCACCTTATAGATCTGGCTGTTTTCTTCATGGGCTGAGCCCCGGGCGTGCAGCTGCATCTTCTCCTTGCTGTTGGACTCAAAGTCACAGATGTTGCAGCGCAGATGCAGGGGGGAAATAGACCCATAAGGGGTCCCATCACCCAGAGGCACTGGAGAGGGGGTGCCCATGGCCCCACCCCCCTCCCGCAAGTGGGCTGCTAGCTGGTACTTCTGCGCATGTTTGTCAGTCTTGAGGTGGAGCTGGAAGTTGGCCTTGAGCTGGGTGCCATAGCAGCAGAGCTTGCAGCGGTGGGTGTCACCTGCCACCTCCTTCCATTCGGCTTCTGGGAGGCTCCGGCCAACACTGCAGTGGTAGAGCAGCAACTCTAGGCTGTCTGTGCTGAAGGCCTGGCACACTAGGCAGCGGAACACCTTCAGGGATGGGCTGTCATCTGGGGGTGGTGAGGTGGACAAGCCATCGGATGAGGAGCCCAGGAGCTGATTCGGAGGCAGGTGGGCTTCAGAGGAGAGGCTGCCAGGGGCTAGGGGACAGAGCCAGATTAGTGCCTGAGAAAGAGATGGGGCAGGGCAGTTATGTGGAGAGGTGGGTTAATAAGTCAGATGGTACTTAAGAGGAAGTTAGGGTTACCTAAGCCGAGAGTTGGCCTTTGGGAGAGAGCAGGGGATAGACTTTTTCCTGGATGGGGACAGAGTTCAAGGAGCTTACCGGGTGTGGGAAACTTGCGGGTAGGTGCTCCAAGGTGGTGGAAACCGTTGAGAAGCAGCTGGGCTTCCAGGGGCTTGTCTGGCCTCAGCCCTGGGCCAGGCATGGGAGTCTGAGGCTGCCCTAGGGCCTGGGGTCCAAAGTACTGGAAGAGTTCAGGGGGACTGGTGGGGGGAGCCCCTGGTGGGGGAGGAGGTCCTGGTCCCACCAGACCAGGGGGTAGGCCCAGTGGCAGCCCCTGGTGCAGCATCAGGACGTTCTGCATGTGCTTCTCAGAGGTCATGTGGATGCGCAGGTTTCGGGAGATGTTTGTCTCATAGCTGCACACCTTGCACTGCCAGGATGATTTGGTCTTGGGTTCTTTGTCTCCTGCAGAGGGTGGGAGTGATGCTTCTGGGGGACTGCCTTGTCCCCCAGGCCCTGCCTGGAAGCCCTGCAGGTTGGCCAGGTGCTTATCAGACTGCATGTGGATGCTGAGGTTGCCTTTGGTGGTAGTGGAGTAATTGCAGACATCGCAGCGGTAGGGCTTGTAGCCACAGTTGTAGCTCTCTCCTCGAGCAAGGCGGGGGTGTGCGCCCCCGGCACTGCAGTAGCTGCAGTGACTGTTACTCTCTGGGTGCTTCTCCCGCATGTGCACATCCAGTGTCTGCTGGTACTTGTAGTGCCAGTTGCACTTGGGACACTTGAGTGTCTTGCAAGAATTTCGGGAGTGTAGCAGGGACATGTGGCTAGACAGGCTAAGGCCCTGGAAGGCTGCAGGAGCCGAGGTGTAGTCGTCAGTCAGGCGGTAGGGCTGGGGTGGGTCGTTGGGGTCTTCAGGGGATCCCCCTGGAAGGGGAAGAATGCCCCCCTCCTTGGAGGTGGGTGAGCTTTGGTTGAGTGGGGGACAGAGCCCTCCATCCTCTTGCCCCTCGGGGAACCAATCTGGCCCTGCCTCGCCTGCTGCTACTGGCGATTCTTTGGCTTGGGTTGGGCTGGGGTCCCAGGTGGCTGGAGTTGCGGGTGGGAAGGGTGGGCTGAGGGCCATGACTTCTTCAGTGGGGAGGGCAAGGGCCTGGACTTCTGCCTCAGGAGGGCCACCCTCAGTCTGGGCTGCCCTCGCCTCCATGTTCACTGTGCTGCTGTTGTTAAGGGGTATTTCAAGAGGGGGACAAACAAGGGATTTTGGTTCCAGAAAGCTTATGAGGGCTGTACAGCCCTCGTCTCCCTCCTGGAGCACAGCTGGGCTGCCCAGCAGGCCCTGGTGTTGGGCAGGGGTTAGCTTCACCCCGTGAGACTGTGTGTGCCCCATAAAGGCCTGGGGCCTGCTAAAACCCAGACGACACTGAAGGCAGAACCAGAAGAGTGCCCTGTGATCTCCCCCACTGCTCCCCGTGGGACCATCTTTGGGATCTCCGGGTGGGTTTGGAGCCAGCTGGTAGCTCCAGAAGGCTCCATACCTTCCCTCACAGGCAGCCGGAGATGGCGCTGAGGTATCATGGGACAGAATTTGGTCAGAAGAGCTAAAGCCTTGGATTGGGTCAAAGCCATGTTGGATGTGAAGGGCAGTGAGGTGTGTGGGGGTTGGATGGGCAAGGAGGGGTAGGCTGGGCTCTTCCTTGATGCCTGCCTCACCCCAGGGGAAGCCCTTTGGTAATAGGAGTTCATTGCTGCCTGGCAAGGACAGCTTGCCCACTAGGTAGGCCTCGCTGCCAGCTGAAAAGAATAAGTGGTTGCTGAGGTCCATGGGAGGGAGTGCTTCTTCCTCTTCCTCCTGATCCTTGTCCTTTTCTACCCCCAGGTCCTTTGGTGTGAAGCCACCACAGCCAGGCTCTTCTTGGGGCTCCCCAATCTCCTTTGGTGGGACGAGACCACAGCCTGACTCCAGAGGCTGTCCCCCTAGCTCTGAGGGCCTCATGCTCTCAGAGGTGGAGGGGGCAGCAGGGGGATCTTTGGTGACAGGGTCAGAGGCAGAGTTGGAGGAGGAGGTGTCCGGAGGTGGGGGTGGGGCATTGTGCCCAGGGGAGGGGGTGGTGCCAGTGGCAGAGGCTGAGTTAAGGGTGGCCATGGTGGATGGAGGAGTGCTGGAGGTTCATCTCAGCGTGACAGCCAGTACCCTGCAGGGAAACATGGAGAGAACAGTACTGTGAGGCCACAGGCATACCAGCCAAGCTGAATCTTAGTGTCTACTAGGCTTTAAAAATTAAAATGTCCATTATTTATTTCTCCCTGATCCTCCTACTCCTCTTGATCGTAACTGTTTATATCAAAAATTGATACCATTTATCCAGTTGCTTAGGCTAAAAGTCCAAAACTTTTCTTTTGCTCTCCCACATAATTATTTTATTTAAAAAAATTTTATTTTGGTACCAGGGCTCAAACTCAAGACCTTACACTTGCAAGGAAGGCAGTGGGACCACTGAGCTAAATCTTTTTTTTTTTTCTTTTAGGATACCGGGGATCGAACTCAGGACCATGTGCTTTCCAGGCAGGCACTGTGCTGCTGAGCTACATCCCTGGTGCCCCACATACCCATTTGACAGCAACCTCTAAACCATAGCAAACCCTGCCCTTACCATCTTCCCCACAAGCACCATTCTGGCCCCGGCCATTACCTCTGTCCTGATGATTCCTTGGACCTCCCATCCCTACTGCTGCCCCTCCAGTTCAGTTTCCTTCCACCCAACAACCAGAAAGATCTTTTACTTGATTCTCAATTGTGAAAAATGCCATTTATAAAACTGCTCCAAATAACATAAGGAAATCTTTTTTACCCATCATCCAGTTATTAAAAAATCAATTCATGACCAGTCTTCTTTCATTCATATCCTCCCCAAGTTCTCCAAATTTCACGTACTATTTTAAAATTTCAAAGCCCCCAGGGTTATTTTTTTTCAGAGATTTTTCACCACCAGATATTTCATGGTTTACTTATTTCCTCCTCCTAGAAGGTAAGTCCTGTGAAAGCAAGGACTGTCCGCTTTATCTATTGCTCTATCACAGAGAATGATGCCTTCCATAATCAGTAATGGTCTTGAATGAACTCTGGGAAATAACCTCAGATGTTCCAAGCCCTGAAGAGGCAAGCTGTCCAAGTCAAGGTCTCCTTGCCGGAGACAGGCCATAGCTAACTTCCCCTGCATGCTTCTAGATCCATCTCTGGTCAGGAACATGTGTAATAACATGTAATAGGAGTTTCCCTGCCAGTTCAAAGACAACAGGAAAAGTCATAACATTATTCATAACGAAGTCCATACACCAAGGTCCTGGACCTGTGGTAAGGGCTTATCAGTGATCTCATTTAATCTCACAGCAACCTTATTTTACAGATGAGGCAGCTAAGAAACAGGTTAAGTGAGCTACTGGTGGTCTTTAGGCTTCAAGGTGGTGAAACCAGAAAAGAACAGGCAGACACAATAACAGCAAAAATAATCCTATAAAGGAGAAATCGAGAGGCCTGGGCTGCCTCCCATCTTTAGGCTCACCAAGGCTCCTGGGCTTCTCCCAACCTTTTTGCCGCCATGATCTCTCAAACTCACCAGCTCCTCAGGCCTCCACCCGTTACTTCTCCCAGCGTCCTAAGGACTTGCCTCCATCTTTTTTTTTTCCTTCCATATCTGAGCAGGTTTAACTTTAGCACTCAGGCAAGAGTGCTTCAGGGAGAGGGTGAAGGGAATGACTTCCTTTTCCTTGAGCCACCTTTAACCCCACCTCCAAATTCCTAGATTTAGAATGGGTTCTTGCTATTGCCCCAGCCAGCAAGGAGGCCTCTGTCCTCCATTCCTTCTCCTGGAGGGGGTCTAGCCAGGCGTGAAGTCAAAGGCTTGGAAGAGCTCGGGAGGGGCTGGATTAGCATGCTAATGAAAATGCAAATCAGGACCTAGGAAAGGGGTGGGTGGGAGGGACAGACAGGGAGTCTGAAAACCAAAAGGTAAGTAAAGAAACTGGACTGAGGGGAGTAGCTTTCTAGAAAGAGGAAATCAGGAGCCCTAAAGTTGTGGGGATCCTTGATGGTAGGGAGGGGATAAGTGCAGTGATTTGTGAGCGTCTGATGTGCCCCTATCCTTCCTACAGGTTGGACCCCACTGCCTTCCACCACCTTACCTGGTGGAAGAGCTGGGGCTCTTGCTACTGAAGGCCAAGCATGGTGGGTACTCTCTCTCAGTGGGCCTGGCTACTGTCACCAGCTTCTTCCTGGTTCCTAACTCAACTCTACCTCACAGTTCGGAGGAGACCTAGGTAGACTTTGCAGTAACTCTCAGAATCTCTCTCCAAAGTATTTAGTTCCAGGACTGGGAGAAACAGCTAATTCCTAGATAGAAACCAAAGGAGCTAGCTCTTGGCAGCCTGTGAGAGACCCTGATGGGCCCAGGGTAGGTTGGCAGCTGTTTAAAATTGCAAATCTCTTCCCCCTGACCCAACTTACCCCTCCTCTTCTCTGGGAAAGAATTTCAATTGCAAATTTATCTCTGCCTCAGTGCATCTCCCCCAACTCCCCACTGCCACAAATTCTCCTCCCCCTTTCTTCTCAGTGCTTTTCCCATCACCCACCATTTATTACAAATCTTTTCCTTCAGCAATTATTTTTCACTTTTTTCCCCTCATTCAATTTCCCCCTTCCATCTTTTCTTGAATCCTCACGTCCCTTTCTTTGCCTTTCCCACTTCGAACTAGAGATGATCCAGAAACGGACCTAAAAGTATTCCCCCGATCCATAGGCCAACAAACTTGTTCGTCTTCAGACCTACTGCCACTGCTCTCTTTAGGTCCTGCTTTCCTCAAGGGCATCTTCCTTCGTTGGGGCACATCTCAGATGTGAATAAAGGGAGAAGGCCCTGACATCTCTGCCTCTGAAGGAAAGGAGGAAGAGGGCCCACTGTCCAGTGGAGGCAGGGACTGTCCAAACGACCTGGGTAGAGGCCAGGGCTGGGGGGCCTCAGTGGAGGAGAGGGGCTGGGGAGCCAGCAGGCAGTGGCGGCAGTGTGATTAGAGTGGAGATTGATGTGAAGGGGCACCACAGACGGCAGAGAGAGTCAATAAAACGAGAGGATCACATTAGAGGCGACAGAGAGAGCTTTAAATTACAAGGCTGCTGCCACCGAGGGGGATGGGAGGAGGGAGGCCTGGAGCCAAGGGAGGGCGGAGAGTTCTGAGGGTGTAGTCATCCCAAGGTGAATCTGCCAGCTCCAAAATGGCCCTCAGTCTCCAGAGCTCCCCAGCTGCCCCTTCATTCTGTCCTCCCTCCCTAGTGCTTCGTTGTTCCCTCACAAGGGTGAAGAGGACAGGAGGGGGAACTCTGTAGAGACAGATTATTTTTCTTTTCAAATTGCCTTCTTCCTTCCTTGGCACCTGGATCTCTGGTTATTCCTTTGGTGAAGGCAAGGATAGAAGTGCTGCTATCAAGTCCAGCAGGAGTTACTGCCTCACAAACAAGCAAACAAAATACAGAGTCAAAGTGACTGAACTACATAGGTGAGCAGAGATACAGTAATTAAAAAAGGAAGACAAAAAACAACAACAACAACAACAACAACAACACCAGAGAGCAATCCAGGAGGCAACAACATATACACTAGGACCAAGACAGTGTGAGAGAGAGGTATCTTATGAGATGGAAACAAAAGGGCCTGGATGTGAAGTTGCAGAAGCAGATGGAAAGCTGAACAGGCAGGCTCTGAGATCCAGCAAGACAGGGGACACTAGATGACCCTTAAAGGGAGAATTACTGGAGCCCAGGGGGCAAAGGCAAAGACAGACCAAAAAATGAGCGGAAAGAATGTGTCCCTCCCAGAGAGGAGCTACGGTGCGGTTTGGGCTGGCTGTAGAACCCAGATAAAGCAGTGAAGGGGGGGACCCTTCCTCTGGAGCACCCAGCAAGACCACAAACTCCTTGGTACAACCCCTCCCACCGCTGACCAACAAGGATAGGAAGAGACACTACTGCCCCCCAGTGGTCACCAAGGAGAGGGCCGACCAGACTCGACAGATTTTTCTCCTCCCCAATTCCCTTCCAAAAAATCATAAAGCAAAACCTGCCTCCTTTTTTTCCAAACCCAATGATAGGGAAAAGGTTGACTTTTTGTGTGTTTTTTTTTTTGAAACAGGGCCTTGCTAGTTCATGCTGGCCTTGAACTCACTATATATAGCCCAGTCTGGCCTCGAATTTACGGCAGTCCTCCTGCCTCAGCACAGAGTGCTGGGATTAATAGGCATGACCAACTCCCGGCCCTTTTTGTTTTTACCTTGAGACAGGATTTTGCTAAATTGCTCAGGCTAGGCTTTAACTTGTGATCCTCTGTATTCAGCCTCCAAAGTAGCTGCAATTTGCCACCTTGCCTGGCAAATGCGCTTTATTTCTTACTGTAGTAGAACATGGACTTTGGATCCATGCAGACCCAGGTTCTGTCCTGGCTCTACCACCCCTTGGAAAGTTACTGATGAAGATGCAGCTTCCTTATCTGGGGAAATATGAATAGTGATACTGCCCTCCAATTTTAAAGGAAAGATATAAAAAGTGCCTATGTTAGGTGTAAATGAGATAAGTTGTTTTTCTTGTCTACTCCCCAGGTGCACAGCAAGATGGGTGCATAGAAGTTGACACCTTTTGCTTTGTCCTTTCTTTCTTTTTCTTTTATTTATTTATTTTTTGAGGCAGGGTCTCACTATGTAGTTGAGACTGACCTGTAACTCACTATGTAGCCCAGGCTGGTCTCAAACTCACAGTGATCCTCCTGCCTCAGCCTCCTGAGTGCTGGGATTACAGGCGTGTGCCGCCATGCCTGGCTGCTTTGTCCTTTCTTGAAAGGCTCATCCTCTGATCTCTGCCCTTTTAATATTTTAATTTTTTTTTTAATTTTTGAGACAGGCTCTCGCTTTGTAGTTCAGGCTGCCCTTGAACTCACTATGTAGTTTGAACTCACAGTGATCCTCTTGCCTCAGCCTCTCCAGTGCTGAGATTATAGGCGTGTGCCACTATGCCTGGCCAGATTTCTGCCCTTTTCAAATAAGAGTAAAATAGGTAGACAGGATTTAAATACAGTCTTCCCAACAGTATAGTTGACTGTTGGGCCTAAAAATACTTATTATGCCAGGGCAGAGTGGAAGTTTTGTCTAGATTCAAATATGGAGTGCGCACAACGGAAGCTAACACCTGGTTCAAAACTATGGCCTCATTAAATAAAATGTTATATCCATAAAAAAAATTATGGTCTCAGCTGGGCAGATGGTACATACCTCTAATCCCAGCACTGGGGAAGCTGAGGCAGGGAGATCACTGTGAGTTCAAGCCCAGTCTGGGTTACATACCGAGTTCAAGGCTAGCATGAACTACATAGTGGGCTCCTATCTCAAAAAAAAAAGGCCTTTCCCTGCATTTAAAACTCATTTCTGGGCCAGGAATTTAGCTCAGTGGTTCCGCCACCTGCCTTAAAAGTACAAGGACCCATGTTTGATCCCTGGTACCAAAAAAAAAAAACAAACAAAAAAAACAAAACAAAACAAACAAACAAAAAAACTCATTTTCTTCTAAATCTTTTCTTTCCTTTAACTTTTATTTATGTATTTTTTTGACACAAGGTCTCACTATGTAGCACAGATTGGGGTTGAACTTGCTATGTAGTTCAGCTCCCCTTAAACTTACTATATAGCCCAGGCTGGCCTTGAACTGGTGATCTTCCTGCCTCAGCCTGAGTGCTAGGAATACAAGGATGTGCCACCACGCCCACCCTCATATTTTACCTTTTGTACTTAAAAGTGAAAAAGCAGTAATAGTAATCCTCCTTCCCCATTTCAGTTCTATCTCTTCTGCATCTCTTTCCTCCATTCCTCATAAAT